CCATCTCCTGGTACCCACTACAGGCCGTGCGCACTGTAACCATTACTAAGCCTTGTTATAAGGGTACATTCAAATAAAAGAAATTTCAGTCTAAAACAGATTAGAAGCTCAGAATTAGAATCTTGGTGCTGAAAGAGAACAAATAACATCTAATCTCTTCATTCTGTAGATGAAAACGGAGATTCGAAAAGAACATTAAGGCGGAGCCTGGACTGCCAACTTGCCTCCAAGCCTCCAACCCTTGGACTTAGACCACACCCAACTCCAGCCGCACTCCATCCTGCCCTGAAGGAGGCAGCATCTCTACATGCCCCACCTTTACAGAGGAAGAAGCCCCCTCCCAGCCCATCCCAACCCATGGAGATCTGACAGCAGTGCTCATTTTCCTGGAACAGAGGTTTGGGAAGACCATGCACACAGCTGCAACTTCTATGGTGCCTTCCTCTCACTATTCTTTACCTCCAGTTCCACCTCCCACCACCCCGCTCATTTAATCGCACACTTATTGAGCACCTACTATGAGTCTTTCTGCAAAGAGCACTGGCCCCCAGAAGCTGATCTACAGGGGAGGTGGACACAGACAGGGAACTCAGAACAACAGACCAGGTCAGGAGGGGCGGTGCACAGGAGACCCTCCGCTCACCATTAGGTTCTCCCTCGCATGCTTACGGGCCTCCCTCCTGACCTCGCTGCCCTGTCCTGCGGCCCTCTCCACCCCGGGCCAGGTCCTTTCCCCCTCGGCTGTGTGGGGATGGAGAAAGTTTGGGGCCCGGTGCACCGGGACGTGCGGGGCTCCCGGAGGCCCGCGCCCCCTCCCTCCTCTCCAGCCCTGGCCGGGTGGAGCAGCGCGGGAGGAGCGGGGCCGGGCGCCGGGCCATCCTTCTCACTGCCCCTCCCCGCCCTAAATGCAGAGGGACTCGGAGGGAGGGGGCCGGGGAAATAAATACCTTTGACTTTGTAGCTAAGGTTAACGGGAACTGCCACCCCGGGGGCGACTTGGGCACCGGGCTCCCGGCCCTGGCCAGTCCCGGGGCAGGCGGGGAGGGCACGCGCACCTGATTGGCTGGTGGTCCTGGCCGTCCCCCAGGCCGTCCGGCCACCCGATTGGCTGTGCGGCTCAGATGACACGCCCGGCCCTATCGAAGCAGCCCGCGGGGCGGCCCCTTTGTTCTCCAGAGCCAATAGCCGGGGGGGCTGACCTCGCCCCGCGGGCGCGCGGCCCCGCGCAGCAAACGCGTGCGCTGAGGGCTGTGAGGAGGAGGCCAGGCGCGGTCCAGCCACTGGTGACCGCGCGGCATCACGGCGCCCTTGTCCGTCCTGCCCTTGAGACCAGTCTCTCGGCCTCGGCGCGCCCCACTTCCCGTACTTGCGCGTATTAATGTCTGAACTCAGGGCGCGTGTACGGGTTCGGTAGTCAGTTCGCCCCGAGTGTTGCCAGCCACTGGTGTCTGGGCTGGGAAACCATCCCGAACCACAAAGCCGCCCCGGCTCTGAGACTTCCCCTCGAGCTCGTGTTTACTCTGTCGCCCTTTTTCTTTCCTCCCTGAGAACCTGTGTTCCCTGGGTGGTGCTGCACACATCGCAGGAAGGTGCACGTGCCCGGTGCGTGCGTGTGCAGAGGGAACCTCCAGCAGTGCCTGGTGATAATGTTTAGGGCGCTCCACGCGAGACCGTGGAAACGGATGCATTCAACGCCTTGGTTTCTAGCTGGGGAAACAGGGTCTGATCGGGTTAAGTTACCAGGTCTAGTTTCACCGCGCTCACTAGGGCTGTGATAAATGGAATCATCTCCCAGCTGCTAACCTGATCCAGATGGCCAACTAGGGTATACAGTTCCCAGAGCCCTCTGGGAAAATGTAGCCCCAATTGGAAGGAAATCCCTCTCACTTATTCTTCAAAGGGGACAAGACTGGGTCAACTCCCACTGGCAGGTTTGTCCGCAGAGCTGATGAGAAATTGCCTATGGAGGCAAGATTCAAATAAACAGAAGTGGGGCTGCTCTCTGACAGCCCTGTGAAGGAGGTGGACCTGATGTTCCTTAACCAGTCAACCCGGGATGAGGCATCTGCTTCAGGCCTAGCTGCTGTTCAGGCTCAGAGGCGCAATAGAAATTGAGGGTCAAGATTCTCTTCATTTTGCCACTTGCTTCAAGTACAGTTTTCACAAAAGCTATTTTTCTGTCTCTGGACTTTGATTTTATTCATCTGTAAAATAGTTAATAATTTTCTAGTTGCCCACATATCTTACTGGGCCTTGACAGTTATATTTGGTTATAAAGGATAGAAGCACTTGAGCTCCATAAAACCCAACACACCCTGCAGAGCTCTTCACTAGCAGTCTCCCCTTCAGGGTCTCCCTCACAGGGTTACTTTCTGGAGGAGGAGCCACAAAGGCTCCTAGGACTCAGGCCTGCTTCAGGTCTTCCAGCAGAGTGTGACTGACCCTGTGAGGTCACTTCCACTCTGAGCATGTTTCCTCCTCTACAGAGTGACAGACTTCTCCAAATTGACATTCCTTGGCCAAGGGCATTTCAGGGGTAGAGAGGATGAAGCACATCTGAGAACCTATTCTCATTAAGCTAAAAAATAAAATAAGAGGAGAAGGCTTTTTAAGAGAAAAAAGGTTGGGGAAGACCCCAATCTCTTACCACAGTGTAGAGAAACACTTGTGGGGTAGGAGGTACAGGACTTTCACATTAAAATTATAAACAGGTCTGCATTATTTAACATTTAAAAAGATAATTCAACACTTTTGTGTAGAAGGGAAAAAAAAAAAAAGAAAGAAAAACTGCCAGTTTTTCAGAAGAGAAGGGAAGCTCCTGAGACAGCTCTGACCCCTCCCGCCTGGCCAGCCCTCCCCTGTGACCGCTGTCTGCGCGAATGCTGAGCAAGGGCTTGGGAACCACTGGCTCCTCAGAAAAACTCAGGAAGGAACCAGAGGCAAGTCCACTGTCTCTACTTTCCCAGCTTCCTCAAGACCATCCAGGTGGCCTTCTCTGTCCTTCAGACCTCTCCTTACCAACTCAACCCCAAACAGTGGGCAGCACAACACAGGACACCCAATACCTATCCTCACACCCAGGTCAAGTCCCTTTAAGATGACAATTTTTCTTGAGGTTGGGGATATAGCTCAGTTGGTAGAGTGCCTGCCTCACATGCACAAGGCCCTGGGTTCAATCCCCAACATCATTAAAAAAAAAAAAAAAAGAAAGAAAGAAAAAGAAAGATTTTTCTTAAGGTTAGTACCCCTGATCTGATTCCCTGTCCCCTCAGCCCACTGGAACCCATATACTCCCTAAAAGAGGCAGATGGCCAATGGACATTCTTGAGACTATGCCCTGTGTTCTCAGGTTCTGACAGATAACTTGCCTTCAACTATACAGGTTTTGATTTAGTACCAGGGATTGAATCCAGGGGCACTTAACCACTGAGCCACATCCCCAATGCCCCAACTTTTTTTTTTTTTTGAAACAAGTTCTCACTAAGTTGCTTGAGATCTTTCGAAGTTGCTGAGACTGGCTTTGAACTTGAAATCCTCCTGCCTCAGCCTCCCAAGTTGCTGGGATTACAGGCATGAGCTACCACACCCAGCAACTACACAGGTTTCTAAGTGGCCCAAATACTCCCCAAATCAATATGAAGCTTTGAAGGTGTTGGCTTCCATCCCACACACTAAGCCCTACTCGCCTCTGTCCATCTCTTCACTTTGTACCTATGTTCATCCTCTCCAGACCCAAGCCTCACAGGGGTCTGGAGACCTCACAGTAGTTCTGATCTTTGAAACCCATTTCCATCACATCAAGTACATAGTAGGCATTTAATACTTACCTTAACCAAAAGCAGCAGCAAACTCAATTTATCCAAAAAGTATGTGGTGGTGATGAAAAGGGACAGGTTCAGGAGCCAGACAAACCTGAGCTTGAATCGCCTGTGGTGACTACCAGTTACATGACCCCCGAGCAAATGTTTTCATGTTGAAAAGGCAAACAAGACACCCCCTGCACAAGGATCACATGAGGCAGTGTAGGGGAACTTCCCTGCGGGTGCCATCCACATAGGCAAATGGTGGCTATTCTTAAGCACCACTCTGTGCTGGGTGCTGGGGATAAGTGCAGAGATTTCTAATATAAGCAAAAATAAATGCGCTTGTTGATGGCTGACACTCAAATATGTAGGAAATCCCCATATTCCTCCCCATATGGGAGGAAGACACAGTGAAGGACCTGCAGCAGTGAGCCAGTGAGATCCCACAGGACACAATCAAATCTTTCCCGGTAACTGGCACCTGAGAAGTCTGACCTGGCCTCAAAGAAGGCTGAACACCTGGCCATGTGGATCTGCACCCAACGTGTGTGGGATATGCAAGCTGGGAACTGTCCTTACTGCTCAGAATTGCCTATCCTTCCAGAGACTCCTTTGTCATGTTGTCAACCCTCCGGCAGGGAAGGGCTGCAAGTCTAACCTAAGTCTGTATGTCCCACTGTCCCCCAAAAGGACTGTCAATGCTAGCTGAAGTAACTGGAAGGCCAGGTGGTGAGAATGACAATGGTGGCCCTGGATTCACCTCAGTGGGTCAGTGACCAGAAACCAGTTATCATCGAGGAGGGTACTAGAGATGGAACCCAGAAGCACTTTACCACTGAGCTAAACCTCCAGCCCCTTTTTAGGTTTTGAGACAGGATATTGCCAAGTTGTCCAGGCTGGGCTCCAACTTGCAACTCTCCTGCCTCAGCCTCTGGTCACTGGGATTAAACATGTGCATCACAACCTAGCAGGAACCAATATCTTGGTTCAGTTAACTGGAATGCTGGCCCACCACCCAGAGACTGAGCCCAACTTTCTGGTTTGCTGGCCACCTCCTCAGAAGAGGACTAGAAGGAGGGTGTAGAAGCCCTCAGCTGTTGCCAAAGCCTCACACAGCCCTTCCTTCCCAGGAAGAAGAGCCATGTTCCTCCCTCCAACTCCACAGTCCCCAGGGAAAGGAACACTCCCCAGCCACCAGTTCTAAAACCAAATCTTTATTCTCTAGTCTGAAAAGGAGGGTAAGTGGTTGTTCTGTTTAGATCCAGAGAACAGAACAAGGCCCAATAGATAGAAATTATAGGAAAGCAAAATTCGATCATTATAAGGAAGAATTTCTAGCAATTAGAATCATCCTACAATAGAACCAGGGCCTCAGGAGGTGGGAGCTCCCTGTCACCAGGAAAGGCTAATATCCACATGCTGGAAATCTTGAAAAGGACCCTCAACCAGGATCTTCCCTTCAGCTGACCCTCCAGCATCAGTGGGCCAGTCCTTCCTTCCACAATGAGCTTTGGAAAGAGTGGAAGAGGGTCAGCCCTGGGAGGGCCAATTAGATAAAGCCAGACAGACCAAGGAGGAAACGCCTGGGAAGGTGATCTTCAGGGAGGACGAGGATTGAATCACTGGCAGTATATCGGCCTCTGCACGCCTGGGATTTCAGCAGGGGCATCAGGAAGGGGGCACAGGTAAAACCAGCTTAGTTTCATCTCTTGGGCTGAAGAGGCCCCAGCTGCCTGACAAGGCCAGCAGGTTCTCCAAGGCATATCTAGCTGGTCCACTTTTCCTCCGGAGCTTTCCTTTACTAAGGACTGTACCACACCTATTTTCAAAAGTGACCTGAAGTAACTCATATAAAGACTGGGACATTAAGGCGTTAACACCAGAGGATGGACTCTTCCTTCCCACCGGTGGCTCCTGTAGCCAAGGGCACTAAGGGTAAATGGAGCTGCTATTGCTACTTTTCCAGGGCATAGAACAGTCAAGGTGAATGTCAGAAACACGGCTCTAAGGGGCTTTCCTGGCCATCCGGGTTTACTCCCTCACTAACAGGGCCCAGCTCACTCCCGCCTCTTCTTTCCCTTCTGAATTCGCATCCCTCTCCGTCACCAGCTCCAACACGAGCTACCCAAGCCACTGCCACACTCCTGCTGCGAAGGAGCCCAGGGCCTGTCTCCGTCCCCCACAGGCCCTGCCCTTCTCAGATATCATGCTTCTTTTGGTGGGTCAGGAGTCTCTCCTCATCGTCAAAGGTCTGGCCACAGATGGCACAGCAAAAGGCGCCATCTCGAATGTGGCTCTTGCGGTGGGTGATGAGATTGGACTTCTGACTGAAGCTGCGGTCACAGTCGGGGCAGGCGTAGGGCCGCTCGCCCGTGTGGATGCGCCGGTGGGACACCAGGTTGGACTTCTGGCTGAAGGCTTTGCCGCAGTCGGGGCAGACGTAGGGCTTCTCGCCCGTGTGGATGCGCCGGTGGGCGGCCAGGTAGGGCTTGTGGCGGAAGGCTTTGCCGCAGTCGGGGCAGACGTAGGGCTTCTCGCCCGTGTGGATGCGCCGGTGGGCGGCCAGGTAGGGCTTGTGGCGGAAAGCCTTGCCGCAGTCGGGGCAGACGAAGGGCCGCTCGGGGGCGTGGTCGCGCCGGTGGGCGGCCAGGTGGCTGCCCTGGGAGAAGCGGCGCCCGCACTCCTCGCAGGCGAAGGGTCGCTCGCCGGAGTGCACTCGGGAGTGCGCCACCAGGTGGGTCTTCTTGCCGAAGTTCTTCCCGCACTCGGCGCAGGTGAAGGGCCGCTCCCCGGTGTGCTGCCGCTGGTGCGCGCGCAGGAAGCGCTCCAGCCGGAAGCTGCGCCCACAGTCGTCGCAGCTGTACAGGGATGGGGTCGCCTGGGCCTGGTCTCGTGGGGGTTCCAAGGGGGCCTCAGGTGGAGGCTCCGCCGCGGGCTCCGGAGCAATCTTCTCAGGGCCGGGCTCTGCCGAGGGATCCAGCACCACGGCTGAAAGCTGGGGGCTCGCAGCACCGGTGGTGGCCTGCGCGGAGCCCTCAGACCGCTTGTGGATCTTGCTGTGTGACAGCAGGTTGGGTTTGTGCCGGAAACGGCGCCCGCACTCAGTGCACGGGTAGGGCTTCTCGCCAGTGTGGATGCGACGGTGCGAGGTCAGGTAGGGCTTGTTGGTGAAGCGCTTCCCGCATTCTGGGCACTGGTGGGGACGCTCACCAGTGTGCACTCGGCGGTGGGCGATCAGGTTGGGCTTGTGGCGGAAGCGCTTGCCGCAGCAGGCACACTGGAAGGGGCGGTCCACGGCGTCCCCACCAGGCCTAGGGGCGGTCACAGCAGGGCGACCTCGGGGCCTTGGCCCCAGAGCTTTGGCTGCCGCCTCCTCCAGGGCCTCAGCCACGTGCACCCGCTTGTGAGCAACCAGCTGGTCCCACTGGGCAAAGCTCCGGCCACAGTTGCCACATATGAAGGGCCGAGCCTCAGGGGTAGGGGGATGGCACCGCCGCAGATGTGCTCGAAGTTGCTTTTGTCGCCAGAAGCGTCTCTCACATTCAGGACAAGCAATGGGCCGCTTTGCAGCCGAGTGGGCCCTCAGATGCAGAACCAGGGCCACCCAGCCTCGGAAGCTCTGCCCACAGAGGTGGCAGGTGAAGCCCACGTCTGGTGTGGCAGCAGCATGGACCTGATGGTGCAGTGCTAAGAAAGGGGCATGGCGGAAGCGCCTCCCACATTCAGGACAGGGCAGAGGGAGCCGCGCCTGGCACCTTCGGGTATGAAGCCACAGGGCCACCCAGCTCAAGAAGTGCCTTCGACAGTGGGCACAGCGACGGGCCCTGCCTAGGGCTTGACTGCCTGACTGGGCCAGTTTGGTGCCCTGGTGCCTCAGCCCGCTGGACTCCTTCTCCAAGGTCTGAAGTGACTCCTGGGAGGACCCTGAAAGGAGCCTGGGCTGGGCTGGACCCATGGCCATGGGGCCCCTGCAGCGCCGTTCCAGCATTGGCTCTTCCTCTGCTGAGGGTGGAAAAGCAGAGTCACTGCAGAGACCAAGACTTCCACCCCAGTTCCTTTCCTCCTAGGAGACCCCAGACCCCAAGAGCAGCCCACCCTCTATGGACTCCCAGAGCCCTTGACACCAATCTAGACTCTCTTAATTCCTTGTAGGTTATTTATTTCAATCTTGGATCTCTAGGTAACATTTCAAGGACATTTATCTTGTATCTTTATTGCCCCTGAAGCTTTCAGAAAGGAGGGATACTGACACTTCTTGGAATCCCCTTGTGACAGCTACCCCAGTGTCAGGAGGTGAGTAAACTTCCAGGGTCAGCTGCACAAACACTCCAGCCACAGGACTCACCAGAAAATATGGTCACATCTCCCTACAGTGCCCTATGCCTTTTCAAAGCTTCCCTGTGGCCTTTCCATGTGTCTGCTATTTCCTATTGCCACATTTGAGCTCTGAGCAACTTGGAGAGGCTGGCTGAGCAGTCACTGAGTGCCTTGGTTGACAGATGATGCAAGTGTGAGGCAGCAAAAGGGGATGGGCCTTGCCTGAGGTGACACTGTAAACCAAGAGCACAACCAGGACTGAGGGACAGGTCTTCTAAACTTTCAGGGCAGTGTTTTTTCCTTTCAAAGACCTGAGTTTGCAAGATGTTGCAAAAATAAATTGCTATAACCTTTCATTCCTGCAAGGCCACAGGGGAGGCAGTTTAAGCCTCACCAACCTCAGCTTCTCTGGGCAGCAGCCTGGAGAGTGAGAACAGCCTTTCTTGGTGACAGGAGGGGAGCCTGGGGCACCACTCCCAGCACAGACTAATGCCAGGCCACCGCCTGTCCAGACTGCCCACAATCTGCCCGCCTGTCCTCCTCCACCCACACACACTATTAGTACACCGCAGAGCTCTCCCGATCCAAAGAACACCCACAGACCGTTGCCCTGGGGGGAGGGAGCAATCCCTGGCTCTGATTCCCTTGGGGTGCTGGGGATTAGTGGGGCAAAAGAGGGGGAAAGAAAGAGATGGTAATCTCTGTCCCCTGCCTAGTCCTGCCCCAACCTGGTCAAGGGCTGCCCATGTTCAGTTCTTCCACAGCTCTGGGGAGCTCAGATTCCTGCTGGAGAGCCGCCTACACAGAATGAGGGCTGGGATGGCAGTTGGCCTCCTAAGGGACCTCCTGTACCTGCTCACAGGCTCCATCCAGACACAGTCCTAAATTCCCTACAGTCTGTTCTCTGGGGGAATACAGACGTGACTCATCCTCTGAGGACCGAATGAGCACACAGGAAGATGAGAAAGGGGTCCTTGGCCCAAAGGCCCTATTCCTCTGCCCCGATTGGGAGGACTGAGCTTTGGGGCTGTAAGGTGGTTTGGGAACACAAGGGCCAGACTCTACCCTGAAGATTGCAGAGCTGGGGATGAGGCTTTTTCCAGCTCTTCCTGGGGATGTTCTTGGGGATACTTCTGCCGCTGCAGCGCCTGCTTCGGCCCACACTCCGATAGCCCCCAGATGTCAGAGAAAACTGCAGCAATAAAGACACCCCTACCCCCATGGCAGAGCTCAGACCTCTGACTGCAGAGAGGCCAGCCTTACCTGTGGGGAGGGGAGAGAAAACATATGTGAGGCTCTGCGTTCTGGGGCGTCATCTCTGTGTTCTCACCAGTGTCCAACCCTCCCCCAACAAAGCCACAGCTCCAGCCTTAAGCCCCACAGCCTGCGTGACAGTGACCTTAATGGATCCTGAATGTTCAAATGAGTGTCGCTCTTCACTAAGGAAGCGCATTGCTGCCTTTGGGGGTCACCTCCTCCCCCGGTAAGGTCACAGAACGAATTCTCTATTCGGTGGCAGGGGTCTTTTCCTGGTGGCCAAAGGCCGGCCCAGAGCAGTAACTCTGGAATCCCTGCTGGCTCCCCTTCCCCCACTCTCCCTACAGGAATTCCAGGCCTGTTTCCCATGGGGCTGCCCAGGGCGCGCCAGAGTGACCAGGACTCGGCCAGAATCCCCTTCGGCAACTTGGACGGCCCAGGGTGGTGGAAGGCCGACACCCCGCTTTTGTATTGGTGCGTGCCCTCCGTCCGCGTTCGCGGGCACGCGGGTCCCGCTCCTACGACAGAGCCATTTCGGGTCCCACGCACGGCGCAGCCCGCGGAGCCTGTGCGCAGG